AATCCCCCCCCCCCCCCCACAAAAGAAATCCCCTTCCAAATTTTATGATTTAGGTGTAAACTCCATGAAAAATCAAGATATAATATCAAAATCATGTAAAAATCATTTATCCACTAGCCTTGTGTGAAAATCCTCTTAAACAATCGCCAATATCCAAGTCTAGGGTTCAAAATATGAGAAAATGGGTCAAAGTCCTGAAATGACTAACAATAACAGCTGCGGATGTCGCATTTGCGGTCAGGGGTTCGCAAATACGACCCTCTCAAATGCGAAAAAGTGCTCGCAAATGCGAACATGGCCCCTGAGCTGCTGTCTTCGCAAATGTGATGTCCCCTTTGCAAATGCGTATGTGACAATTACGAAACTAGCTTTGCAAAATGCGAAGTTGGCCTTCTGAGCCAACCATCGCAAATCTGATCAGGAGTCCGCAAATGCGAGGTCTGCAACACTAGTAAAAATCTGAACTCTCCAAAATTATTCCAACTAATCCGAAACTCACCCGAGCCCCTCGGTCCCCACACCAAACATACAACCAAGTATATAAACCTCGTACGAACTCGTTCACAAGCTCAAAACATCAAAACAACATCAAAAACTTTGAATCAAACACCAAAAAACATCATGAAAACCTTAAAATTCAAGATCTTCAATATTCACAATCAAGCATCTGATTCCTACCAAACCAACTTGGAATGAGACCAAACTTTGTCCACAAATTTCAAATAATAAAACGGACCTATTCCAAGTCTCAGAATAACAATTCGAACCTGATAGCCTTAAAGCCAACTCATGGTCAAACTTATGAAATTTCTAAACCTTCAAATTGACAACTTTCGGCAAAAAGAGCCAAATCATCCTAGGAATCTCCAAATCCAAATTCAAACATGTGCCTAAATCCAAAATCACCATACGAACCAATTGGAACCATCAAAATACAAATCTGAGGTCGTTAACACAAAAATCAAACCTTGGTCAACTCTTATAACTTAAGCTTCCAACATTTGAATTGTGTGTTCCAATTCACTCCAAAACCTTCCCGGAAATAAACCGATCCTCCCCTAAAGTCACAAAATAAGAACTAAGCACATGGGAAGAATCAAATGAGGAAAATAGAGATCAAATACACAAAATGACCAGCCACATCGTTACATTCTCCCTCTTTTAAACAAACGTTCGTCCTCGAATAGGTTTATACCTGAAGTGCCGAAAAGATGAGGATATCTGCCCCACTTAATTCGCCTCCTCGACTGGTTGACCTCTCCACTGCACCTTCACTGATGTAATATTTTTAGACCCGAGCTTCCGAATCCCCTGATCCAAAACAGCCACTAGCTCCTCCTCATAAGCGAGATTTCCATCCAACTGCACTGTGGTGAAGTTCAAAACATGGGACTTATCTTCATGATACTTTCGAAGCATAGAAATATAGAACACCAGATGAAATCCCGAAAGACTAGGATGAAAAGAAAGTCTATAAGCAACCTCGCCAACTCTCCCCAACACCTCCAAAGGACCAATAAACCTCGGGCTCAACCTGCCCTTCTTCCCGAACCTCATCACACTGGCGAAACTCTAAGAGGAACCTTCTCGCCCTCCATGAAAGCCACATCACAAACCTTCTAGTCCGCATAACTCTTCTGTCCGGATTGAGCTGTGCGAAGCCTCTCCTGAATCAATTTCACCTTTTCCAAAGTATCACAGATCAAGTCTATGCCCAATAACCTTGCCTCGCAGGGCTCGAACCAACCAACTAGAGAACGACATCGCCTCCGATATAAGGCTTCATATGGAGCTATCTGGATACTATACTGATAGCTATTCTTGTAGGCAAACTATGCTAAAGGTAGAAATAGGTCCACTAACCTCCAATATCGATATTGTATACCCTCAACATATCCTCCAAGATTTGAATGGTCTGCTCAGATTTCCAGTCCGTATGAGGATGAAATGCAGTACTCAACTCAACATGCGTGCCCAACTCACATTGTTTCCCTCCAAAAATGTGAAGTAAACTGAGTGTCGCAGTCTAAAATGGTAGAAACAGGTACACCGCGTAGGCGAACAATCACCCTGATATAGATCTTAGCCAACTGCTCTGAGGTGTAGGAAGTCATGACCAGAATGAAATGCGCCGACTTGGTCAACCGATCCATAATGACCCAAATGGCATCAAACTTCCTCAAGGTCTATGACAACCCTATCATAAAGTCCATAGTAATGCGCTCCCAGTTTCACTCCG